TTCACAAGGGGGTGACACATAAAACACATGTGTTTACCTGTTTAAAAAACATAAAGGTAAAGCATACTTTTAAAAGATAAATAACTGCCCTGGGGGGATAGCTCAGTGGTTCTGCCACCTGCCTCACAAGTGCAAGGACCTGAGTTTGATCCCCGGTACAAAAAAAAAAAAAAAGAGATAAATAACTAACTACACACACACACACACACACACAAAACTAGAAAGTTGTAACAAGAAAGGAAATACTACCATTAAACACTACTTGCTTTGTAAGTTTTACAAGTTCAATTTACTTTTATGTTACTTGTAAATAAAGTGAATGATGTTTTCCTTATGTTTTAACGGTGTATATAAACACTGGATATCGGTTTGGCTAAAATTATGTCAGTCAGCATCCCAACAAGAAATAGCTCTCAGGGACCAGGGATTTAGCTCAGTGGTTCCGCTGCCTGCTTTGCAAGCACAAGGTCCTGAGTTTGATCCCCGGTACCAAAAAAAAAAAAGGAGAGAAAGAAACAGCTCTCAGATGGCGAATTTGAGGAGAATTTGATAAAAAAAGTTCTGCATGGGCCGGGTGAAAAGCCACTCTAGGAAGGAGGGTGGGTATAGATAGTCCCGCACTGAGGCCATCACTCCCACCAAGGCCTGGAAGGTAAGAGGAGGGCAGGTGGCCAAATTGGGGAGAGAGCTAAACAGAGAGGGCTTGGGACAGCAGGGGTACAGCACGCCAGTGGGGAGACCTCTGGGCACACAGATGGCCCAGGCACTCTGCCCCCTGCCCCTGCCCCACACTAGCCAACCAACCAGAAACCCAGGGGGAAGGCAGATAGATGACTGATGTGGTCTACACAGGTCAGAGTGCTTCTGGAAGGGCTAAGGGAAGGTGTCCAGCACAAACTGTAGTGGATAGACCGAGGAAGGGAATTTCAGGAGCGCTCACACTGGGAGTGGTGACGCGTGCATGTAATCTCAGCACTCCTGAGGCTGAGGCAGGAAGATAGCCACAAGTTCAAGGCCATCCTGGGCTATATAGTGAGTTCAAGGCCAGTCTGGACTGCACAGCCAGACCCTGTCTCAAAAAAGGAATGGCAGGAAGTGAGGCATGATGCACACCTGTAATTCCAGCACTCAGCCAGGAGGCTGAGGGAGAAAAACTGCACGTTTGAGCCTAACCTGGGCAACATATTGACTTAGCAAGGCCCTGTCTCATAATGAAAAATAAAAAATGTGGGATGTAATTCAGTGTGAAGGCCCTGGACTCATTCCCCTCTGCTGAAATAAACAAAAAATGTGGCAAGTGGCAAATGCCAGAAGAAACAGCTACAAGAGTTGGAGAGGTGCTCTGGGGAGTAACGTGTAGGGTAATGCAAGGGGCAGGTCAGAGGATGGCTGATTTTCATTACACGGTATATCCACTAGAACTAATTTGACTTTGTATACTTTGATTAAAGTAAAAGAAATGCTGGGGTGGTGGCTCACACCTGTAATCCCAGTACTCAACCCAGAAGGCTGAGGCAGGAGGATTGCTGCAAGTCTGAGACCAGCCTGGGCTACATAGTGACTTCAAGGCCAGCCTAAACTACATAGAGAGAGCCTGTCTCAAAAAAAAAAAAGTAAAAAAAAGATGATATCCAGTCTAATCATGAGAAAAACACCGGACAAGTCTTGATAGAGAGCTACCCTACAAAATACCTGATTCAGGGCAGGGATTTAGCTCAGCGGTTCCACTGTCTCCCTTGTAAGTGCAAAGACCTGAGTTTGATTGCAAAAAAAAGTCCCAAAATACCTGATTGATGCTCTTCAAAACTGTCAAGGATAAGGCCAGGCATGGTGGCACACACCTGTATAGTTCCTGCACTCAGGAGGCCGAGGCAGGAGGATTGCTGTGAGTTTAAGGCCAGCCTGGGCTACACAGCAAGACCCTGTCTAAAAAGCCAAAACAAAACAACTGTCAAGACCATCAACTACTAGGAAAGTGTGAGGGACTGTGAGGGCCAAGAGGAACCTGAGACAAGACACTAACAGTATGTAGTACTCTGGATGAGACACTGGAAAAGAAAAAAACATTACGTAAAAATTGGAGGTATCTAAATAAAGTTTGGCGTTTATTTAATGATAATATATCAATGGGGGGCGGGGATGTAGCTCAGTGGTGGTGTGCCTTCCCTGCAAGTGCTAGGTCCTGAGTTCCATCCCCGGTACCTGAAAAAAATATACTAACATTGGTTCATTGATTGTAACAAAGGTACTGTACTAATCTAGAATATTAACAAAAAAATTAGGGACAGGAGAAATGGGAACTCTTTTTCTGCAAATCTAAAATTATTCTTTAAAAAATCTATTAAAGGGGTGGGGATTTAGCTCAGTGGCACCGCCCCTGCCTCGAAAGTGCAAGGTCCTGAGTTCGATCCCTATTACAAAAAAAAATCTATTGAAATACTGAAGGTCATTACAATAAAAAAAAATCCCAAAAGATAAGAAGAAACTATTCATCACTTTGTTTTATTTTATATGCATTATTCAGAGCTTTAGTGGGGTTGAATTTTTTTCCAGGCTTTTTAGTGATTCTTGGATTCTAGACATGAAATCCCCGAATTTTAACAATGATCTTGGTTACTCATTCGTTAAATAGTTATGTATCAAATGCTGGCTAAGGGCCAGGTGGGCAGGGCCCCTGCATAGCACTTGGGATTCAGGGTCCTTCTGTAAACATTGCCTGAACCCTTCCCTAAATCTCAGAACCTTCGGGCTACTTTCAGGCTCAAGCCAGGTCAAGGGCTGGGGTTGGGGTTAATTTTTTTTTTTTTTTTTTTTGGTATCGGGGATCGAACTCGGGTCCTTGCTCTTGCAGGGCAGGTGGCGAAACCACTGAGCTAAATCCCCGGCCCTGCAGCTCAGTGTAGAGCAGGCCTCTGGGACTCACTGGTACAATCCCCCCACACCTCTGCTCTCCAGACACAGCAGCCCTTTTCAGTTCCTGGAAGTTGCCATGTCCCCTACTGCTCCGGGGCTTTTGCCCTGCGCTGCAGTTCCTTCTCCCTTCAGAGCTATTTGACTACTTAAGACTGAGGTCTGACTGAATCCGGGTCATTTGCTGTTGCCACCGCAGAAACCGACATCGCAAGAGGATGGATTGCCCAAAATCACATGGATGCTGAGATCCCGTATTGGGGCCCGTTGCCTCTTGCTCCCTGAACTGTAGTTCCCCTGAAACTTAGCACCAGTTGGGCAACAGCGGGTACTGGCACCTGCCCTGCGGACTGGGCCCTGAACGACCACGAGCACGCGTCGGCGCAGACCTCGGACCCGGACCCGGACCGCGCGCGCCCCCTCGCGGGCGGCGTGGAGACGACACCAGACGCTTCCTTCACTCCGGGAAAGAGACTGGGGAGTTAGCGTCGGAAGGTGAGGGAGCCCGCGCGGTGGGGTGGCGGACGCCGGGCCCCTGCCCTTGGGGCCGACGTCCTGGGATTCTGGGGCACGGGGTCAGGGCGTCTGTCCCAGTTCTTCCGCTCGCCCCGGGGTCTTCTCAGCACTGGTAAGTTGGGGTGCAGGATAACTCCTGAGGCAGAAAGAATCGGGAGGGGTAGAGGAGTCCCGGGGCTTAGGTCCCAGGCAGGACCCCGGGCACGGAACGGATTTCTGCTCGCTGAGTCTTGTGATCTTCATCTGTGATGACACCAACCGCATCGGAGCCAAGACTGCTGGCTGCCTCGCTCGTGCCCCGCAACCCGGCAGCTTTGGGGGTTCCGACAGAAGCGGGGAGACGGCTCGCGGGCAGCCACCATGGTTCACTTACCAAAGTCCTGGGAGACTGAAGAGTGGGAATAGAAAGACATCCTTTCTTTCTTTCTTTCTTTCTTTCTTTCTTTCTTTCTTTCTTTCTTTCTTTCTTTCTTTCTCTCTCTCTCTCTCTCTCTCTCTCTC